GTATGGAAGAGGAGGGAACAGATGGTATTTAAATGACACAATGCACTAAGATATCCTCAGATGAGTACTAGAGAAAGTGTGTGAAAACCTACTTAGAGTGCAGTAGAATAAAGTGAAGAAGGAAGAGACAACAGCAGCTTTGCTAAATTTGCTCTTGTGCCTAATTTCCCCTAACGGTGGGATGTATAGTACTAACTGCTGCGAGCTTGTGGGAGGGTAAGATGCTCTTTACAACAGGGCGTAAAGCCAGTGCAGTTTGCCGAACCCTACCACTAGATGGAGGCAAATATTTAGTTCACATCTAGTAAGCAGGGTGAGGTGTTCCCCTGGAGAGGTCCTGAGCGAGAAGGGAAGAACAACAGGAGCTCGGCAAGACATAAGATGCTGCCAACAGCTCATCACGGGTACCTTTGCCTTCTCTGAGGACAAAAATCCTGGCTCCTACTTTATTTAACATCCAGTAGTGATTCTAGCTCTGTGCTGCTGCCTCTCAGAGATGCCTCCTTCAACACACAAGGATGCCTCACTCCCACCTTAGGCTGGTTCCACTGGAGGCCAGCCAGCTGATGTGCTCACCGGAAACTGTCTCCCAGATGTGTCCCATTGTCAGAACAGTCTTCCTAGGAATACATCTCCCACTCATCTCAGTTCATATGGAAATTAGCTGTGCACTAGAAAACAGATCTGCTGATTTAAGTCTTATATTTGTTCTTATGCCTTCTTCATTTGTCAGTATAGTCCCTCCTACAGCATGGTTCATGGATTGTCCCATGCCTCCTTAGGAATGGTTCTTTCTGCATTTTCTCCTTCTGTCCAAAGTGTCTTGAGCTCAGTAAAGGGTATGGTGTATCTCTGGTTTTTGCTACGTGCCCTGTGGAGGATTTGGCCAAGAGACCAGGGTACTTGCGGTCAACATTGCATCTTTCCAGGGCCCTCCAGCTCACTAGTCCCAGTCTTCATCGTCTTTAATGCGGTATGGGGACTGACCCTCTATTCTCAGACTTCCTATTTCTCTCATACCTCAAGACACCAGTGCCCTCAGTACCCACTTAACATCTACTTCATCTTTGAGCTTCATGTGGAAGAAATGGCTAGTAATCGATGAGAGTGTTTTCAAAGTTCTCTCTTTACAGAGGTGAGAAACCTTTCTGAGGGGGAAGCTCTTGAAGGAACCATGCTTTGTACCCTATCCCTACCTATTCTTGACACTCTAGATACCTTTCAGTGACTTATTTCAGCAATCCTACCATCTGGTGCTGCTTCTTGATTGGACTAACAGGAATTCTCTATGGAATAAACTGTTGCCCACCTGGCAGGTGTGTAGCTCTAATCCTCTCTGCTTTTCAGCTGGTTGCTCCCTCTCCTTATGTAGATTTGCTCTCTTGCCATTGCTGAAGACATTTCCAAGACAGTCACAGAGAAATGAGGATTCCATGGATGGTGAAGATGCTTTTACTTCTGCAGCACCTTTAAGGTGAAGTGTCAGATACGAAGGGAATGATTCGAAGAGGTCAGAAGGAATGAAGGAAAACGTAGTTTACCAACGTGACAGAGAGGAATTCATCTTCATTCCTTACAACTTGTTTCACAGCTCCACGGAGGCAGGAAGAGCAAACCCCAGAGATCAGTTAGTCCCAGCAACTTGACTAAGAATTAGGCCTACTTTGGTAGTGTTTACAGGCTATCCTAGGAAATGTTTATGTTTGGTGGCTGAGAGAGCAAGATATGAGTCTTCTGAGTCCAGGCACATTAAAACTGCCTCTCCTCCTTTCCACTCAGCATTTGAATTATGGAAGATGCCACCATTTTCTTGTGTTCCACGTTGTCCATGAGCAGACTTCCTTCTCTCAGGTGCCCTATGCCAAACCTGTGGCTGAGCAAAACTTTTTCCTAGTTATATCTGGACTCAGAGCCTTTACATCACTAGGCAGCAGCTCTTGAACTGGAAAAGGTTTTTGGATAAAAGCAGGGAAATATTGTCAAGCTTTTGAGAAAATAGACCTTTATGCACATTTGGCAAATTTGTTGAGGTAGAAGAGGTCGCCTCTACCCATCAAGGAGCACAAAAACTCGTAATGGAGAAACCACTGGTTCCATAAGAGTTTATCCTGCTAAATATGAAAAAAGTTTCAGTGTTTGTAGACCAGTGCCTGTATGCAAAGTCAGCTGTTCTCATCGCATCCTTCCCCACCTCTTCAAGGACTGAGCGCAGTGGAAGCTTTGAAGTTTCTAAGGTGATGCTCTGCTCAGAGACCCAGGAAGACACAGCCGTTTTCTCCTGGAACTGAGAAACAAAGATGCAACTGTAGCTTTTCAGTTATGGCAAGAAGACAGGCATCTCACCCTACAGCAGGGAGCAGCTCAGGCCCTCAAGACAACTGGCCAGCTCCAGCAACCAGGAGGTCGTCCTAGTATTTCTAGGGTTATGTCTGTCTGTGCTTGCTTTTGCTTTCATAGAATCACAGAATCATTCAAGTTGGAAAAGACCCCTAAACCATATCCCCCGACACCACATCTAAATGACCTTTAAACACATTCAGGGATGGTGACTCAACCCCCTCCCTGAGCAGCCTTTTCCAATGTCTGACTACTCTTTCTGTGAAAAAAAAATTCCTAATATCCAGTCTAAACCTGCCCTGTTGCAGTTTAAAGCCATTCCCTCTTGTTCATTGATTACGTGTGAGAAGAGACTTGCACGAACATTTCTACAATGTCCTTCCAGATAGTTGTCGAGAGTCATGAAGTCTCCCCTTAGCCACCTCTTCTTCTAACTAAACAGTCCCAACTCCTTCAATCTCTCTTTATACGATTTATTTTCCAGGCCCTTCACCAGTTTCGTTGCCCTCCTCTGCACTTGCTCCAGCACCTCGATAATTCTCTTGTTTTGAGGTGCCCAAACCTGGACAATACTCAAAGTGTGACCTCACCAGTGCTGAGTACAGGGGGACAACGACCTCCCTACTTCTGCTGGTCACACTATTTCTACTACAAGCCAGGATGCCATTGGCTTTCTTGGCCACCTGGGCACCCTACTGGCCCATATTCCGCCGGCTGTCAATCAGAACACCCAGCTGCCTTTCTGCCAGGCAGCTCTCCAGCCACACTTCTGCAAACCTGTAGTACTGCAGGGAGTTGTTGTGGCTCGAATGCAGGAGCTGGCACTTGGCCTTGTTGAAATTCATACCATTAACATTGGCCCATCGATCCAATCTCTCCGAGTCTCTCTGCAGGGTCTCCCTACCCTCATGCAGATCAACGCTCCCACCTAACTTGGTGTCATCTGTGAACTTACTGATAATACGCTCTATGTCCTTTCTGGCAACATGGGATTAATCTTCTGAAGGAGGGAAGGAAAATTCCTGTTTGATTTTGTTCTTTTAAATTTCAGGATGCCTGAGAGGTGTTTGTATACCACAGTGAAGAATGGGAATCTTAGTCCACTACTTCTGAAACCTGCTTCTCTAGCAAGCCCATGGAGCACTGTGGAGACTTTCCCCTTCTATATGTGAGTCATATGGGAAGCACACTGTGATTCTGAGTGTGGCAGGTGCATTCCTCTCGTCTGGGATGCCTCCCCTCACAGTGGTTGCTGGCCAGATTTCAGAGAAACTGCTGGAAGTTTCTCGCTAGTTTGAGTCTAGCCCACTGGCCTAGATGTACACCCAAGTAGTTGACTGGTAGCCAGTGGGAGATCGAGATGGCTTTGATTGACCACAGCTCAGATTCAACTGAGCTTTAAAACGAGGTCCTGATGGGGCCCCTTGGAGTAAGTCCCTTCAGAGCAGCAGGTCCTGCAGTCAGGGCACAGCCTCCCCCTTGGTTTGAGTCGCCGGCCAAGGTGACTCCTCGAGGTTGAGAGTCCTCATCTTTATACGGGTGAGTGTATAATATGATTTGGATTGTTATTCTTTGTTAAGGGTTGGGTGTAGTGTAGTAACTGCTCCTCTCAACAGATACCAGATCTTGTGAATTTGAGGGAGCTTTTCATTTCTTAATAAATCCAGTTTAATTACACTTGTGGATTTAACTGGGAATGGGAGCACTCCTCACACTGAGGAGGCAGCAGTAGGTATCATGAAGGGCCGGAGTATGCATGGGGACTGACTGCAACCCAGCAATGGTTTGTAATTCCAACAGTGAATGCACACAGGCTTTCTTCTGAGGGATATTTGTCTGTCTGTTTATCACACATGCAGGAGTTTTTAACCCCTCAGTTAAATACTGTAAGAAAGAAAATAGCATTAAACAACAAAGCATACAAGATTGGGATTTTTTAATTATTAAGTGAAATTGTATAAAGTGCAAATAAATCAATAAAAAAATTCAGAGAGAGAAAGCACAGTCCAGGAGTTTGCCACTTTAATCAGCTAGAGGATTAAAATGCTTTTGGAATACCAAAATAACCACATGTGAATTCTTTGGTCTTTTTGAAGCACTTTCTTCAAGCATTTGATGACTTTCTCCCTGTTGGAGAGAAGCACAAAACTTAGAGAGTGTACTAGAAAAGGACAATGTAAACAGCTCTGTTTTATTCTAGCATTCCTGTAGCATGCCCTGAGGAAGGTGGTGCCTAAAGAAAAGCAAACCTGGCAAAGTTTACCCCCTGGAGTCAATTTTGGTTATACTCCGCTCCTAGTGCTAAGTAGTTTTGGCCGTCACTGAACTGTGCCATTGACTTGGTAAGTGGCGCAGTGTCTCCCCTTTTTCTGGCAGGAGCCCCACTCACTGAAATATCTCATTTGCAGAGCAAGGCCCATAGGATTTGGCTGGCAGTATGTGGGTGCGCAGGAACCTAGCGCACCAGGCCTCTGCTCCCTCGCCTCTTGGTTGTGGTGGGGACACCCTACAGAAGGATCATGGTGGAGGGAATGTGTTTCTCCCAGGTTTGTTCCCCTTGTTTCTTTTGGGTAATAGGATTAGGTCCTTGCAATCAGGGAGAGTAGTGAAACCTGTACCCCGGTAAGCTTTATCTTGAAAGTTAAATATCATAATGAATTTACCATATAACTTCTGAATTCCCCTCTTGTCATCGTCTGGAAGTCTGAAGGTTGCTGGGTTCACATATGAGTATGTAGGGTACATCAGAGCTCCAGGGACGTTTGAATGAGCGAGTCCCAAAGAATGGCCAAATTCATGAGCAGCAACAAGGAATAAATTCACTTCTGTGGCATAGAAGCATAGAAGAGTATGTTAAAGGTATGGCATTTCTTTTTAACATACAAAGAACTGAAGTAGCAGGAGATGATATTCTAGCTTTCATTCCTTTTAAAGGAAACCTTAGAGTTTTGATTGGTTGTTACTGAACTTTCTTATGTAGTTATAGCATTTTGATAAAACCGTTACTGATCCCTTGCATATGCATCTAAGACCTTGAGTCTCGTTCCAACTTTGCTCTTAGTCAACCTTATCCCTACAAGCATGTCATTTTACCTTTCCACAATTTATGTAGAAAATAGAGACTTAGTCCTTGTTTAGGCTGTGAAAAGTGCTTTAAAATATGGACAGAATAGGCATTATACAGCTGCTAATGATAAGGAAGCAGAAGTACTTAGAAGTACTTAGTAAGGACAGAAATATTGGTACTGAAATGGTAAGGAAGCATGAAGAGTTATGAAAAGCATTTGATAAAATCTTAGAAGCGTTTCGGTTGGAAAAGACCTTTAAGATCAAGTCCAACTCTTAATCTGACATTGCCACGTCCCTCACTAAACTATGTCCCTAAGCACCTCATCTGCATGTCTTCAGGTATGATGACTCCACCACTTCTCTGGGCAGCCTTTTCCAGTGCTTAATAAGCCTTTCAGTGAAGAAATTTCTCCCCATACCCAATCAAAACCTCCCCTGACTCAACTTGAGGCCATTTCCTCTTGTCCTATCACTTGTTATTTAGGAGAAGAGACCGACCCCACTTCACTACAACCTCCTGTCAGTTAGTTGTAGAGGGTGATAAGGCCTCCCCTGAGCCTCTTTTTCTTGAGGCTAAACAACTCCAGTTCCCTCAGCTGTTCTTCATAAGACTTGTTCTCGAGTCCCTTCACCAGCTTTTTTGCCCTTCTTTGGACACGCTCCAACACCTCTATGTCTACCTTGTAGTGAGGGGTCCAAAACTGAACACAGGATTCAATGTGTGACCTCACCAGTGCTGAGCACAGGAGGACGATCACTTTCCTACTTCTGCTGACCACACTAGTTCTGATCCAGGCCAGGATGCTATTGACCTTCTTGGCCACTGGAGCACACTATTGGCACAGTTTCCTATGGCTCTGTTCTAACATGGACAACGCTTGCCTTTCCCATTCATACACATATGTGGGTTTTACCTTGATTGGTGTCTGACCACCTTTCATCTTCATCAAAATGAGCATCTCCAGCAAGCTCTCCTGAAGGTGCAAATGCATGAGCTAATGTTTTACCTCTTCCGTCAAAAGGATAACCATCACCATGCCCTGCATTTGAAAAGAAATAAATTTCATCAGATGACATCAACTATAATGTTTAGATTCAGCAAAATTGAGGCATAGTGCTTGTTTTTGTTAGTTTTGTTCATTACTAGTCCTTAAAAAAAATCGTATTATAGCAGAAAGATTGTAAAAATGAGGAGCAAAGCTTAGGAGACATTCTTAAAATTCATGACTTAATTTCAGAACTTATGTGTGATAATTCAGGTTGCTGCATGTTTCAGAAAGACCTGAACATTTGTTCTGAGCCTTTGTCAAAACTGTAGTTCTAAGGCAGCAGTCAGGGATTCTTTCAGAAAGAATACTTAATGGTCGAGAACATTATAAGCACCTGAATGTTTTCAATGCTGGAAATGCTGGGCAACATTAGTTACAGCCTTTCCCACTTGTGCTGTTTTTAGTGGAAGACAATGGATTGAGATAGATAACTGTGTTCCTGAAGAGCTAAGTTTGTTTGCCCTCAGCCTTAGGATATGATTCGTTATGTACTTCTGTCAGTGCCTGTGGAATGTTACTGTTTCCTGCCTGGAGTGACTGGATGGTCAGTTTGTGTCAGCTCTGAAATTTCTCCCTACCCTTTAGTGAGCCTCTGACTTGATTGAGGAGTATTTGGAGACTCAAATAACATTCTGTGTCCTTTCCTCCAGACCATGTGGATGGATCTTGTGGCAGGACTAACACAGGCAGAAGAGACCTGTGCTAGTCCTGCGTGCCTGACGAGAAATTAAAACCCATTGCAGTTTGCAAGACCCTTTCTGTGACTGGCACATCAGTCGATTCTTAATGGCAACATAATATGCTTCCCATTAGTGAAGCATGAGCTTGGGGCATTTTGATCTTTATGTACAGTCATACTTCTAAGCCAAGAGTCTGATCTTCACATCCATGCAGTCAATGGAAATCTAGTAAATATTGTCAACAGATCTAGAGAACAAGTCAGCTAACCTTGAAGTAGGTATTTAGTTTGTCCAAGGTGAATCAGTTTAGGTGCCAAGCACAAGTTAAAGGTATGGCTGCATTCATGCATTGGTCTGGATCGCAGGTGAGCTTATGAAGTGACTCTACTGGTCCTCTGCATTTACAGTGCTTTGGCTTGCACTTGGTGCAATCTTGGAGTGCCCCAATGGGATTCCTTCGGGAAAAAGATGAACCAGGGACGTAGTCTATGGCCAAACCTAAAGCACTCCAGCTGCCAAAGACCATTTAGTCCAGGAAACAAAACTAGATCTAGGCCAAAGTAAACGTTCCTGATCCTGCCTGAGTCCAGCCTGTGAAGGCTGGATCTTCAGAACTAGCTGGTTTGCTCTACAGATATGTTCCCATTAGTCTGCAGTGTTTGTCAAAACAGACAGAGCTTTGAACATCTAAATTTAGGTATCTCATTCTGGAGCTGAATTCTTTTCCCCATTTCATAGATGCAACTCTCAAAGGATTTTCTAATGGTTTCATAGGAGTAAAACTGAATCATAAGATAGAGATTTGGTGGTATGATAAAGAGGAGATAAAAGTTATGCAGACTTCAGAATAATTCCAAACTGTATCTATAAAAATGCATGCTTTGAGTCAAATGTGTACCACTGCATTTTAAAAATGACATATATTCTCACCACGACGTGCAAATAGAATCTCAATGTCTGCATGTCCAAAGAAGACTCTTCGAAACTGCAGTGGAGTCACATCACTCCACACCATAAAAGCCCTTTTAATTGCATCATCCACTTTCTTTTGGGGTAGATCAGGTGTATAATTGACAATCCTGGCAGCAAAAGGAAGCAGATTAACATCATTTAAGGTGTGGAGGAAATACACAGTTAAATACAAAGAAATCCCTTTCCCCTTAAAACCTGAAACATCACTAACTTGTAAGTCAAATGTGTCTTTTTCCATCTTGGGTTTCCAGGAAAAGTTTGATATTCTGCTATATCAGGGACTCCACATCTGGGCTGTTTCATTATTTCTTCTGTTTCTGCATTTAATTTTCCAGTTATGGTCAGGTGGAAAAACTTCTGCATTTCTTTAATCCTCTCTTCTAAGCTTAGGCTTTTTGTTTTTGAGAAAACTGGAAAGAATTTATCAAGATATACCTGGAAGAAGAAAAGGAAAATAAAATTTAATATGTGTATCTGTGATCATTTGGTAATTGCGTTATACATTTTACAATTGATTGAATTATTTAATCATCCTGCACTCTTAGCTAGTTTTAGATATATTTTTTCTTTTCATTTCAGTTTACCAAATGCTGTCTTCTGTGTAGTATATGATAACATATATAAAAAGAATTGCAAAAGCAGTGAAGCACTGTAAGCAAGCAGTCCTTTTAAGTAAACAGTTTACTGAGCATTCAAATCTGCAGCCTTCCAACACATTCTACATAATATTTTTGAGAAGTGTTAAAAATTGCCTACTCCCCTTTATTTAACAGTTAGACTCTTTTGTAAGTTACAATTAAGGTGTCTGAGATAGTCACCAAGTTTGAGTTATTTTATGTCACCCCTGCAAAAAACTGATGTGGTAATGTAAGGTGAGAAGATAAATATAAACAGATAAGAAAGGAAAGCAGAAGCTGAATCAAGAATCAGGTTATTCATAATGTAGCTACATTGTCCACCTGCTAACATACCTTTACATGCTCTGAGACTGCGTCACTCAATGATTCAAGTTTTGCTGGAAAAGCAAGACTTTCGGGTAGGAGGATGGCAGCACAAAGTAGGATGTATTGCATGGTGCCCAGCTTGCCAAGGTGCCGTGCTACAGCAGAAAAGATTTGACCTTCTGTGTTACAAGACCACAGCTAAAATGCTTATATAGATCCTGACAGCTTCAAGTGGCAAGTACGTGACTCATTTTCTGGTGGTGTGAGTGTAATGTCATCACTGTTCTAAGAAGTAAATAAAAGCATGTTAAACAAATCCTTCCCTTGACTTCCCTGTTGATGTCATGTCACAGTTAGCAGCCAGCTTTGGCTCTCTCTTTTCATATTATTCCAGTAGTGAAACCACAGGGTCATAGGGAAGTTCACTTTCTGTAACTTCATCAGTACACTTATGGTATAATTGCTTCTTACTGTGCTTCCCCCGAATTCCTTATACACAAAGGCATTTTGCAACAGTCTTTGGGTCAGTCAGCCTGCCAGTATTAGTTGATGCAGAGGTGGAGATGGGGTGACGGGAACGCTATCTCACTGAAACTACTGGCATTTCGTAGGGAGCCTGCACAACACTGTCCAGGCAATTTTTCTGATTCCAGTTCTCTTGTGAGGTATCCTATCCTGGAGGAAATCTGATTTAGTGAAGTTAAAGAGGTTTCTGCTATTTTTGCAGAGATCAGAGGAGAGCTCTTTAAATAGGCCCTCCAGAAATAGGGGGCTGTGGGAAGCCTTTGTCCCTTTCCTCCCCAATGAGATGGCCTTTCAGGAGAGCCTCTTTATGTTGGAGAACTAGATATAAAACATATTTTAGGAGAATGGGTGAAAGCCCTCAGGAGACAAGGGAGGAGCTCGCCCTAAGAAACATTGAGCTGTCTTCTACCTCCAGCTGTACCAGTGCAATGTGACAGAGGTCCATGAAGAACTGGCAGAGAAAACCAAAGCTAAGCAGGGCAGCCACAACCTCTCTGGTCCCCTGATGCCAACACTGGTCTCAGCTTCATCCCACCAAACACCACTGGAAGTGATAGCTTTTGAGGACTGGAAACACCAGTCTACAGGCTAGCTTATGGCTTTGTGTTTTTTTTTCAGACTATGCAGTTTTGTGACCGTATTCCCTCTAATCCAAAAGGAAAGATGCATAAATGGGAAAAGGCTGTTACTGTTGCCCACAGTAGGCCAGCTCATATGGGTATAACTGAACATCTGTGGAAGAGTTTGTGGGCTAAGTAGCTTAAGTCCAACGTGCTTCTGACTGATGTGACGGGAAGGACTTTGATATCAGTGGGAAATGATCTATACCAAAGCAATGCTGAATTATGCAGGAGAGGACTGCTTTATGCAACGTCCAAAACAGCTGCTAAAGGAACCATGTTTCCACCTGATATTGAAAGCAACTCAAACTTCTACCATGTGATCATTTCTGTACATTTTGGTAGGCTTACAGGAAATCTATAACATCCAAATTTCAGAACTTTAAAAACTAAGATATTTTATTGTTAGGAGCAGGTTCATCTATTTCTTCAACAACTGTGCCCTTACTGTGCCCTTCCTGCCAAGAAGGCCAATGATATCCTGGGCTGCATTAACCTCTATTCTGCCCTGGAGAGGCCACATCTGGAATACTTTGTCTGGTTCTGGGCTCCCCAGTTCAAGAAACACAGGGAACTACTGGAGAGAGTCCAGCAGAGGGCAACAAAGATGATAGGGGAACTGAAGCATCTCTCTTCTGAGGAAAGGTTGAGGGAGCTGCGACTATTTAGCCTAGAGAAGAGATGGATGAGAGGAGACCTTATCAATGTCTGTAAATATCCAAAGGGTGGGTGCAGGGAGGATGGAGATGGACTCATTTCAGTAGTGCCTTATGACAGGATAAGAGGCAGTGAGCACAAGCTGGAACACAGGAAGTTTAATTTTCTGTGAAAACTGACTTGGTGTCTGACTGTGGCAATGAAGTAGAACTTGGAACAGGGTCTGGGAGGCAGGAAATGGGGATGTGTTTAAACCACTTTGAACTCCATGACTCTAGTCTGTGGTACTTATTATTTCCTCATATACAAGAAATTAGTTTGAAAGCCTCCAGAACCCCATTCCAGTTGACAGAATCTTGAGCAATTCACATATATCTTCAACTGGGCCATAAGCAGAACTAAAAAGGAGAATAAGCATAATTTAAACACAAGAACAAAAGAGCTTGCTGACAAAGGGCAGGTGACATGTTCCATTTTATTTTCTGCTGGAAATCTGACAACTCTTACAATTCGTTTTGTTTTTTTTTTGAAAAAGAGGGAGAGTTTTGATAAACATTGGGCTTTAATTAAATTTAAAACTTTCCATGAAAAAAATTTCATTTCCTTGGTCTCAAAATTAGCAGGAATCTGTCTATTTCTAATGAGATCAATACAAAAGGAAACAGATGTTGATTTTTAGATTTGGTTGTTTCAGTTTTGCAGACTTTATCTTTTTGTCATGAACTTGAGTGAAAAAAACTGTTATGGATCATGAGAAACAAACATCATAGTCATATCATTTACATTCAACGGAGAACCTGTGCCTATGCCAGAGTATGGCCTATGTAGAGAATATTCAAGGAGGTGAGAAGAAAAGCTATTAGAGACATTTAAGAAAAGAAGTTGCCACAACCACACAGTGAAAATAAAAATGCTCCATGAAGTAAAATTCTATTAAGAAGACTCAGAATATTGCCACTGAAATATTTACATTTTCTGAGGTGGGTAACCCTGCTGTGAACAAGGATATTTTGTGAAACTATGTCCTATATGGAATTCCTTGATGGGCATCAGAGTCTTTGTGGTCTAGAGAAAAACCCACATTTTTATATATATACGATATATATATCTATATTACATATATAGAAATATATATAGAATATAGAGAATAAGATCTGAGCCTTTGTAGATGAGTAAGATGAAAAAGGGGGTGAACCAGTCAGTGGTGAATAATTATTTTTTCTTGGTCATTTGACTTCGACAAGAGACTCAGATGAATTCTGTCCAACCTGAATGCAGCCAACTGTGCAGTTAATGCAAGTCAAGAGTTACTCAAATGTCTTTGTCAATGTTATGGATCCAATTGAGATGGAGTTAACTTTCTTCATAGTAGCCTGTTTGGTGGTGTGTTTGGGTTTATGACTAAACTAGTGTCACAGAATCAGTGAATTGCATAGGTTGGAAAAGACCTTTAAGATCATTGAGTCCTAGTACTGTCCTCGACTAAACCATATCTCTAAGCGCTATGTCTACACAACTCTTAAATATCTCCAGGGAACAGGACTCCACCACTACCCTGGGCAACAGGTTCCAGTGCCTGATAACCCTTTCAGTAAAGGGTTCCCAATATTCAATCTAAGCTTCACTTGGAGCAACTGGAGGCCATTTCCTCTTGTCCTATCACCTGTTTTTTGGTTGAACAGACAAATCCCCCTCTCTACAACCTCTTTTCAGATAGTTGCAAAGAGCAATAAGGTCTCCCCTCAGCTCCCTCTTCTTCAGGCTAAACACCCCAGTTCCTTCAGTTGCTCCTCATGAGGCTTGTGCTCTAGACCCTCCACCAGCTTTGTTGCCCTTCTTTGGAAACGCTCCAGCACCTCAATGACTTTCTTGTAGTGAGGGGCCCAAAACTGAACACAATACTTGAGATGCAGCCTCACAAGTGCCAAAAACAGAGGCACAGTCACTTCCCTGGTCCTACTTGCCACACTATTCCTGATACAGGCCAGGATAGCATTGGCCTCCTTGGCCACCTGGGCACACTGCTGACTCATGTTCAGCTGGTTATCAATTCACAGCCCTAGGTTCCTCTCTGCTGAGTGGCTTTCCAGTGCTGCCTGGTGTTATTTTGACTGAAGTGCAAGACCTGACATTTGGCCTTATTGAATCTCATACAACTGGACTCAGTCTATTGATCCAATCTGTCCAAGTCCCTCTGTGGAGTCTCCCTACCCTCAAGCAGATCAACACTCCCTTCCATCTTGGTGCAAACTTACTAAGAGTGCACTTGATCCACTCATTCAGATCATAGAATCATAGAATGGCCTAGGCTGGAAGGGACCTTAGAGATCATTTTTATTCCAACCTCCCTGCTGCCAGGGACACGACCTCTCGACTAGATCAGGCAACACACGGAGACCGAACGGGAATCAAACCTGTGACTTTGGCGTTTTTAGTGCCACACTCAGCTGAATGATAAGATATTAAACAGAACTAGCCCCAGTACTGTTTGTTATGGACCAGTTTTCTTGTCTGAGGCTTACACTGTAGAGGGAGGTGCATATCCATGTCTTCCACATTCAATTTCCGTAGATTTTGCCCCTGAGAGAGCTCTTGGAGTCCCTTAACACCTCAGCATCCAGGGCTATGGATATCCCTTTTTCAGGCTATGTGAGAGTAAAAACTTCCAGTCACTCCCGTGAGAGCACCGAGGTCCTCCCAGGACCTCTTGGCACTTGTCAGCTCACCTTTGCAGAGAGGCAGTCCAGTTCTTCTCTCCTGTTTGGCTGGATCAAGATGCATTGAGCTCTTTCACAGGAGGATCCATCTCATGTCCCAATGCTTTAGGGGAGGAAAGGCCTGAGGAGGGGATTAGATGTTCAAGTTCAGCACAAACAGTGTGACAGGAACTAATACATCTATGTTACTAATACTTAAACAATCACAGAATTATAGAATGTTTTGGGATGGAAGGGACTTTTAAAGGTCATCTAGTCCAACACCCCTGAGCAAGGACATCTTTAACTCGATCACATTGCTCAGAGCCCCATCAAACCTGACTTTCAATGTTTCCAGGAATGGGGCAACTGCCACCTCTCCAGGCAACCTGTTCCAGTGTTTATTGACCCTCATTTTACAAAAATTCTTCCTTATATCTAACTCTTTTAGTTTAGAACTATTGAAATAGGTCCTACTAAAAAAACTGTCCCTATCTTTCCTGTAGTCCCCCTTTAAGTACTGGAGGCTGCAATAAGGTCTCCCTGGAGCTTTTTCTTCAGGCTGAACAATCTCAACTCTGTTAGCCTGTCCTCATAGGAGAGGTGCTCCATCCTGATCATTTACCTCCAG